GGAGTGGGATATATAAAATTCAGATATATTATTCTGAGTGAAAGAGGAAGTGTCAAGAAATTCTTATCTTCATGCTAGCCAAGTTTTAATTATGTAGTCACTCTGGAAATAAGGCCTCCTATTTATTTCCATGGAAGCTACAACAAATTCAAAAAGCACAACAACAGTATTTAAAATAATGAATTCTTAAATACAAAACACTATTTTTCAACATAGTCACTGCCATTAACTATGTATTTTTGCCAGCAATGAACAAGAGCCTGCATGCAGCACTTGTAAAAATCTATTTGTCTGCCCAGAACATGTTTTGTGTTTCATTTTGCTATTGCCTCTGCTGAAACACGCTACTCATCACCTCACTGTGCTGTGACATCCACTGTTTCATCTCCATAAATGTTCAGCAAGTGTCAATGAATGTCAATGGGTTTAATTTTTTCCACATGGAGGAATTCATTTTCACACTTTTGTTTCATACACACCTACATGACAGACACTATTTTGTTGGAGTGCACCGTCTTATGGCAACAAAATTTAACGGAATATCGTTGGGAAATTTCAACCTCTACCTCCATACCTCCAGTATCTGCCTCTGATGCTGTGGGCCAACATAATAAAATAGGAGGTATTACTTTTGGAAGAGATCTCATACTACAATAAATCTTGCAAGAGAAAATATACTACCAAATTTCTGTATAATCTTTCTTGTCTATACAAGCAGTAATATTATTATCCTGTTAACCATAAATTTGTTGCTATATTTTTACAGTTCATTATAAGAACATAGTTAATTTATTTTTGCACTGCTTCAAGTGCCTTATCTAGCAGAAAAAAGAACATTGACAAAATTCTTTCCAACTTAGATTTCTGTTAATCCTCTGAAACTGATTTCAGTGTTAATGCACATTTCCTCAGTAATCCCAGAAATGGTAAAATCTTAACAAATTTCTGCTTTTTGATTGAAAAACTCTTATAATTTATTTATGTCATTTTTCCTAGTTTTATTGCTCTTTACAGTTTAAGATACTCACAAATATATTTTCTCTCTGGAAAATGGATAAGACAGGTTTTTCATCTTGGTATCTTCTTGTGGCACATGGGGTTGCAGAGGTTCAAACAATTTGCACCATATTTCACTTAACTTTTTGACTATTCCCTCTTCTTCTTTGATTTCATACATCTGAGTAAATAAAATGTCACATATGAACATGACTTCCAAAAATACACTAAAATGAAAAAAAAACACCATTTTTATACACATATTTAATTCTATATTTAAAATAAGCACCTTAACATAAATTCTCATGTAAGAGCAACCACCTGAATCTGCAAAGGTTTCAGTTCTAGGGACACAAGCTTCTTGCAGAAGAAAACTCATAGTACAAGAAAAATCCTTACTAATTCATCTCAGCTAGGAGCTGCAAGAGTATGATAGAAAGGTAGAGCAATGATTTTGACTTTGTAGCTGTAACTGGAAATAGAGGGGCAGACAAAGCAAGAAAGAAATTTACTCACTGTCAATGATACTGCCACAAATAAATGCGTTATTTTGGGGTAATAAAATTTCTAGTTTTCTAATGACACACACATACAACTGCCATTAAAAGTGAGGATGCCTGGCTCGTGGCTTTATGGCAATTCCAAGGACGTTGATTCAGATTGACATGTCAAGCAACAGAGCCTTCCAGAGATATAGAAGTATTTTTTTTTCCTGAAATACAAACGAACTTACCAAACGTGTTTATTTGCAATCTGATTAATCAAATTAAGTAAACGAACTTTATGTAACACCTGCATGAGCCTATGACAAAATACTTCTTTTATTATTTCAAATTGAAATTACATTAAGCACCTTAATTAAGCATCTTAAGTCTTCATAATTTTTAGATCATCTGATCCTCTACCTTCAGCACATTCTCAACTTTTTTCAAGGACTGCAGTTACGTTCCTTGGAAACTTAGACATTCTTTAACTTTTACAGTATTTTGGAGGATTTATTTTATTGTTTGAAGTTGTTACACATCTAACATGCATCTAATTTGATGATGTATCTAATTTGCTCCAGTGTAGTGAATTCTCATTCATCAAAAGTAACAGTTTAGTCCTGTACAGAATAATACATGTAGTTGAATTTACTTGGACAGCACGATTTACCAGAATGTCATTTGTCCTGAACGATGTTTTAAAACTGAATGTTTCAAAAGACTTTTTTGCAACCAACTTATCATGTTTAGAGATGAATACTTTCAACTGAAAATCCTTTATTTATGGTTTTATTGGTTGTTTGTATAAATAAAAGTAATATCACAGAAAAAAAAAAATATATGCTTTTAAAATGAAAGAAAGAAATGAATTTTACTTTTGTTGTTAATGGCTGATTTTTTATTCTTATTTTTTCATTTTTTATTGCTAAATCTTTGAAATACTAGGTTTCAGTTTTTCAAAGCGTGTCTTTGCCCCCACAGGAAGTTCATCTCCTGACTGTCTTTGCAAAAAATTTACGACAGTAACAGAATTTTTGTGCCATGCTTACTCTATTTAGCAGGTAATATTCAATTTCTGCAACTGAGAAAAAAACAAGTAAAGCAGAAAGGACAATTCATAGTCGCTGTCCAAAGCCTATTCATTTTCAGAGGCTGATTACAGGTAAACAGTTGAGGGAGACTGTTTAATCTTACTCTATACAATAGAGTAAGAATATGCAAGACTAGCTTGGCCAAATCCCTGACAGTGACAGACAGTAATACTCTAAGGTGCAGACATCTTTTACTGGGTGAAAACAACTGATAGGTAAAAATCAAAACACTACGGACATATACTTTCACTATCATAACACACTGCACGTCACCTTTGAAGAAAGTTCCTTGACAAAATTCTGAATAGCTACTGCCTTCTGAACTGCAAATCCCTCCTCAAAACTCTCCTCTATTGTCACTCTACAGAACATGGTCTACCAGCGAGCTGCCTCTGGGGCCTTTGAAATCTCCTCAGAAATTCCCATCTTAAATTCAACTCTGAAAACTAAATCATCACAAAACAGTAAAATGAAAGAATAAGCATTACATGTTATTTGGAGTGATTTAGTATAATGTACCTCTAAGAGCTTCAAAACATTTATGTTTCTGATCAGTCTTCCTCCAGGCATAAAACTAATTTTTATAAAATGGAAGATATTTACCTTTTTAGTGGGCATTTTTATTTTAAGGAGTTCCGCTTCTCGGCTAAGTACTTGCCAAGTTGCATGAATACGGACAAAGTTCAGCCCTTGGCTCTTATTCTGAAATATGTAGTGAAAATAACAAATTTCAATATTATTAAAGAGAATACAGTAATCAGGTTTCAAGATGGCATATCTAACTAAATCTTGCAACAAAGAGCAATCATAGTAAATAACCAACTTCAATTACAACAGGGATTAAATGTGACTTTCTCTTTAAAAGTCAAATCATCTAATGCGTGGGTGTCCAACCATTTGGCTTGCTTGGTCCACAAGGAGAGAAGAGGAACTGTCTTTGACCACAGATAAAATATATAAAATAGTTAATGTATATAAGTAAAAAAGTTTATTATATATATATTTTTTAATTAAAATATTAAAAAGTGAGCAACACGTAGAACTACAGAGACATCTGACATTTTTGTGAAACTAGTCCATCAGTCTTGTTCAGTGGAAGTGACTGCAATTCTTATTGCTCATCAGAGATTTTTTATGAAATTTTTTTCTTCCTGTACATCCTTGAAAATAGTTGTTCACAAATGTATATATTGTAAAAAAATTGATGAAATGAGTAAGGTGTGACTGTGAAGCGAGGGATATTTTTCTCTGTTAACATAGGTAGATGGTAAAGTATGATGAAAGTATAATAGAGAGACAAAATAATTTTTTTTTTGAGTTGAATATCTAATTGCAACTCTATACATTCAGTTTGAAAATTTACAGGCAATATATGTCAACTGAAAGGGGAGTTGCAAATATACAGAAAAATTGTTTATTATTTACGCAATCTTGAAACATTATCAAATTCATTAATCAAAACAGAAAGTGAGCTATTTTTTTGCTGTTCACAAGACTGTGTTTCATCAATATATCAAAATATAGAAAAACTATCTGTCATAACTTGAAATAACACTGCACATTCTGTGTCCTGGTTTCCCTCCAGTCACTGCCAGTTGCACACCAATAGTTTGGTTGTTGCTGAGGGACAAGTACATGCTCAGGGTGCACTCAGGACATGCCAGGTTTCTTGGCAGGGAAGAGACACTGCCATGATAGTATGGGACAGGGGGTGGGCCACAGTACAAGGTGTCCCATGGGCCGCAGGTTGGGCATGTCTGATCTAATGCTCTAAAAGACATAAAACTGCCTGCCTACTCTGCAACTGCATGTGCACCACAAAGATGCAAGGTTTTGGGAATCATCTGGATTTGGGAATCATCTGAACCAGAAATCCCTGAGCTATAGGTTCCACACACAAGATATTTTGAAAGTTACATGGCTTCATTAGTGTACTTTTGTGCCCATCTGAACAAGCAAGGACAAAACATTTATTCTGCTCTGCATTTGACCTTAAGCAAATTGTTCTTGTCCTACTATTTCTTGTACACCTAATCAGATAAAATCAGTTGATCTTGTTCATTAAATCACAAAACCATGACACTTTTCCAATGCTCTGTCACACTTACCATACACAAGATCTTCCACATGTTAGTATGGGACTTTCTTTGTTCAAGTTTTAGCCATTACTCCTTGTCCTTTTGCTACACACCACTAAGAAGATCTTGGCCTCATCCATCTGTCTCCCACCTCCTTTTTGGTATTTATAAACATTTCTCATATCCCCTCTTAGCCTTCTTTTCCCAGACTGAACAGACCCAGGTTACTCAGCCTTTCCTTGTAAGGGAGATGCTCGAGGCCTTTAATCATCTTTTGGCCCCCCACTGACTCCTTCTAGGAGACCTCTATATTTTTTGAAATTGTTAGTTCAGAATTGGACACAGTAGTCTGAATGTGGCCTCACCAGGGCAGAGCAGGGGGGTAGGATACCCTCCCTTGACCTGCTGGCCACTCTCTTTTTAATGCACACCAGGATACAATTGGCCTTCTTGGCCAGAAAGATGCACTGCTAACTCATATATATGGGCCAATATACTGCCCACCAGGACCCTCCAGGACCTTCTCTGCAGAGCTCCTCTCCAGCAAGTCATCCACTAACCTGTACTGATGCATGTAGTTATTCCTCTCCAGGGGCAAGACTCTACACCTGCTCTTGTTAAATATCATTAGGCTCCTCTCTGCCCAAATCTCCAGTCTATCCAGGTCTTGTTGAAAGGTAGCACAGCCTTCAGGTATATCAGTCAATCCTCCCATCTTTGTATCATCAACAAACTTGCTGAGGGTAGACTCTATCCCTTCATTCAGGTAATTGATGAAGATGTTGAACAAGACTGGACCCAGAACTGACTCTTGGGCAATACCGCTAGTTACAGGCCTGCAACCAGACTCTGCACTACTGATGACAGTCCTCATAGCTCTGTTAGTCAGCTAGTTCTCAATCCACCTCAGCATTCACTCATCCATTCCACATTATCTAAGTTTTGTAACTTGGATGTTGTGGGAGACATTGTCAAACACCCTCCTGAAATCAAAGTACACAACATCCACTACTCGCCTCTCATCTACTCAGCTGATGATGACATCATAGAAGGCTACAGGATTGATCAAACATGATTTCCCCTTGATGAATCCATGTTGACTACTCCTGATTACCTTATTTAATTCCAATTTCTCGGGGATGGCATGCAGAATAAGCTTATCCATTACCATCCCTGGGACAGAGACTGACTGGTCTGTAGTTTCTCAGCGCTTCCTTCTTGCCCTTTTTGAAGGCTGGTGTGACATTGGCTGTCTTTCAGTCTTCAGGCACCTCTCCCATTTTCCATGACCTTCCAAAGATGATAGTGTGGTTTGGCAATCACTTCTGCCAGCTCTCTCAGCACTCATGGCTGCATCCCATACGGGCCCTTGGATCTGCGTGCTTTGAGTTTGCCTATAGATAATCTTTGTCCAGATCTTCCTTGATCAAGGGGAAGTCTTCCTTTCCCCAAATTTTCTCTCTTTATAGGGTTTGAAATTCCTGAGGGGCAGTCTTGGCACAAAAGGCTGAAGCAAAGAAGGCATTCAGTGACTGCTTTCTAATTGTCTTCTCTTACCAGAGCACCCACCTCATTCTGTAACTGGCCCACATTTTCCCTAGTCTTCCTTTTACTGTTGATATACTTACTTAAATAAACCTTTCTTGTTGTTCTTTACCTCCTCACTAGATTTAATTCCAAGTGGGCCTTGGCCTTCCTTGTGGCATGCCCCAACATGGCATGCCCCAACAACTTTCTTATGTTCCTCCCACGTGGCCAGACCTTTTTCCACATTCCATAGGCTTTCTTCTTCTAATTGAGTTTTTCCATTTGTTCTTTGCTCATCCATGCAGGTCTCCTGCCACCTTTGCTTCATTTCTTGCTCTTAGGTATGCATCTATCTTGAGTTTGGAAGAAGTGGTGCTTCAATGTCAATCAACGCCCTTGGACCCCTTTAGTATCCAGTGCTCTAAAACACAGCATACCTCCAAATACACAAGTTGAAAAGGTCAACATTTGTTCTCCCGAAGTCTCGGGTTGTAATTGTACTTACTGCCTTGTTTCTTCCATGCAGGATCCTAAACTCCACTATCTCATGATTGCTACATCCAAGGCTGTCCTCAACATTCACATCCCCAACTAATCCTTCCTTGTCAGCATTCCAGTCACACATTTTAAAACTACTTGTTAGTCTTTTCTGATACTTAAAATAATACAACAGTAACAAAATCAGATTTACATTATAGTCAGATCTTTTTATGAAATTACAAAGAGAACAATAAATTAGTACTAAATAGGCATAGTATTATAGAGGATTACTAATCAATTTAACATAAACTACAGCTAATTTGTAGTAGAATGAACAGCTTCTTTCATAAAACCTCCCAGCGGGTCTTCATGATGACCTGTATCTGTCCTGCCAGGAAGTGAGTCTGGTGATTCTAGTAGAGCATTATGAAGGAAGATGTGGAAATTATCAACAAATCACACTTGGACCATGGAACATCTTTTTCTGTGACATTATTTGGTGACATTACATGACACAACTCCAATACATAAACAAATATTTTCCAGGAAAGCCACCTGTGATCTGTGGCTCACAAGTGGAAAATAAACTGGAGTCCCTTGTGGTGATAGCTGTGATCTACACTGTCACCATGGTGCTTTCAAATACCTAGTGCAACAGATCCATTTAAAATTAAGTCCAGTCCTTTAGTGAGCAAAATTAGGAAAAAAGTGAAACCAAGCTTTGTCAACTCTGTGACAAAGCTGAGCCATTTCTTAAGGACAGCATTTTAAAATAAAAGAGTGCAAGAGAGGAACAAGCTCCATAAAGAAATTTTTGAGAAATGAGCTGTTACAATGTACTAAGTTCTCGTGTATGTTGATCAGCGGATGCCTTGGACTTTTTGACTCTGCATAGACCTGTGGCTGATAGATAAACAGGAGAAAAGGATGATGGACTACCTTCATATAGATCAAAGAAAAATATACTGAGGAATGGCAGGATTGATACAGGTATTAGAGCTGAATGTGAAATAGTAGCTGAAGACATACTAGTGTAAATGGAGAATCCTGGACAGAGCAGTCCTGTGGCAAAAGTACTAAGGAAGGCTGATGTGAAGATACAGTAAATACTCAGAGGTCTGAGACAGGTGAGCAGGTCAAACACTGATTAGGTGAAGCAGTGTGCACTGACCTGTGAAAGCTGAACAGTAACACTGCATATAGGGTAAATACTATTCAGTCAACTCACAGAAACCAGTGACAAACAGGTAAGCTTGCTAGTTTGTATTTAACTATTCTGCAAAAACTTGACAGTATGTCTTCAAAACACAGGCTACCACAAAGATATTCCTGGCTCCTACAGTGCAGAGTGTGAGCAAATAAATGATTCAGTAGCCTTCCAATGGCCTTCAAAAGGGACAAGATCTTTAGGAAGCTACTTATCATGATTTCCTAAAAGGGTCCTGTGGCAGTTGAAAGTGCCAATGTTAAAAAACAGACAAAGAATGATAATTTAAAGTCTTAAATTGTATGCAGTATGAGAACTGGAAAAAGAGTGTGAATGTTTTCAAAACAGTCATTGGAGAATATCATTTGCAAAAAAAGTGAGAACAACAGCAAATGAGAAAGAAAATTATA